TTATTCGCAGATCAGTACCTTTAATTTTTGGACGGTACCACTCAATTTGTAGTGAACGTAGCTTCATCAGTAAACAAAATTTTCAATTCCATGCAATGAAGGATCCTTATACTTTTGAGAGGGAAAAATTATTTGGGAGATATAGTTATTCATTGAGGAGAATCATGGAATACAAATTAATTAACAAAATTCAGCTTATTAAAGGAAATTATGAAAAAACACCTCAAAAGTGCTGCTTTGTTTTCTCCTGTTCATAAAAGAGGACATATGCCTCCTCACTCACAAGCGATTTGGTGGAATTGGGAACACGTGTGAATTGTTGTATTCAGTCCATGTGCCATTATGAAGGTGTCTGAAATATGTTGTATATTGCACGTTGTTAGTAGTCCCAATAAGTAAAATTGTTTTGAATGATTCAAATAATCACCTATTTCTATTCTCACGATATGGACTGTTTCTGATACACAATCTGTTCCGTTGAAAACAGAATTTATATAGTTCACCATCCTGATGCTCACTTGAAGTTTATCAGGATGTCTGTTATAAAATTCGCTGGCAGCTTCTCTTGCCGAAAGAGCATTATCTCCGACAAGGCGCACAAGTTCAATTTTATCTCGCACACTCAGTTCTTCCATGATAAATCACTAATTCCTACCACCCTACAAAATATTTTTTCTTTACTAATCGCGCATAATCTGTCGTTACTGTTTCAATACAATTTTTGATAGCAGCAATAATAATCAACAAGTCTTTTGTTTCCAGTGCCAAATGAAAAGAGCGCGAGTTTGCATATCCGCACGGTGTTTCATGGTCAACTAACCTTTTAAGAGGTGTGCAGTTAATATTCCATCATTATACAATGTGAATGTTGATTCGACTATAGAATTATTGATTGAATATTTTTTGATGAAATTTGATGTTCCACCAATGGTGATTTTGAATTTTTTCCAAAAAAAGTCGCTAATACGTATTCTTGTATTTTCGTCTATAAAAATATTCGCAGCAGGTCTTGTAGGAAACAAATTATATTTGGTATCAAAGTACAGTTTTTTGAACTCTACAATTCAGAATAAAGTTCTTCAAATTCAAGTGGGTCACACTGTACAATAAATGATCTCGGAATTCAAAGTACCATTTGATGTTCATTTGTAAGAATCCAAAATTTGTTTTCTATTCTTTGCTATAACTTCCAATGAATTGGGGACGTATGCAGGAATGTAAAGAAGGCGAATTTCGCCCTCAGGGAATGAATTAATACAAAACATGTTTTTTCCGTTTCATATGACGCATATGAATTGTTCATTCCCAATTAGAATCTTCAATATTTTTCTGCCATACTCAGAAATACATCCTGATAACTTCACTGTAATAAATATTGGTTTCGTCTTTCGTTATGATTCAAATCCTGTTATAGAGTTCCATCAATTACCCTCCTTATTCATTATACTCGTTCACGACATGTGAGTTATTTCGGAAGAATTATTCAACAAAATAATTCAGAGACTCACCAACAAATGCAGGGCAAATATCCGAAAACATCACAGAGACGTATTCTTTGAAAGTAATTTACTGTGAAAGTGTGAAAGTTTCTCGGTACTGATTTGGGTTCTTAACCTTCCCCCTGGACAACGAACGAAGCTGATTTATTAATCACCTGGTGTGTGAAGAACGGCACACAGAAAAGTACATTTCCAAACGTTACTGCATTTAATAAACCACTGAAGAGTTCAATTGAACAGTAAATTGTCGTATTGATGAATTCCTGTTATTCATCATTTTATTCGTTTCTTTATAAATACATTCATTCATTTATTTGGCCATTTATTCAATAATTGGATAATTTATTCAGTTCTCCATAGAAACCTGATTCCCTAATTATATTGATCGATAATTAAAAATACAAATATGAATATTTTTTCACGAACAGCGTTTTATTATTATGAATGAACTGTAGTTTGTTACTCTCGAGAATTGAAAATGAACATTGTAATATGACTAACTGAATACTCAATTTCACATATGGTCATTGGGAACGAAAAGTGGCTGAATGATGGGTTGTGAAATTCGATTTGTATCATCTATTTATCTGATATAGGTGAGAGTGAAAGAGAGTAGAAAGGCTAACCACTCAAGCACTTAGCCGGAAACTATCACACCCGACGCGAGCCAATTTCTACCACCCCCAGACCGATATCCGAACAACCTAGCTTCATTCGAAAGCATCAACTCTCGTATTGAAAAGTTAATGATTTGGTTGACGAATTAATTCATAGAGGGCAGATCGAGTCATACTCCAATCTGAATTTAACATACCATTAAAATTTTTGGCGGGTGGCCGAAATAGTTTGGTGGATATCTGCAACCTGACATCAATATCTGAATAATAGACGGTACCAGGGTGGTCGTCGAAGTACCAGGCCTAATCTAGAAATGGGTATAGTTGTTTGAAAAAACATTACGGTATTAGAAAGTAAATAATCTATAAAGCATACGTTGCAAGTTTAAAGACGGTGTTGTTTAGTATTTGTTTGGCAGCCATCAAAGTTTCCACCGAAAACTTTCGCTATTGTGAATTTGTGGAACTGGAGAAAATTGGTCATCATTATGTGGTACTTTCATTTGAAAGGCCTCAGCTGAACTCGATTAACTCTGGGTGAGTCTGTTCTTTCGTTTACAACAGTCAAATATTGGGTAGCAGAGTTTAAACGAGGCCGTACGAGCTGCCAAGACGAGCATCGCAATGGTCAACCAAATGAGGTGACGACTCTAGAAACAATGAAGAAAATCCACAAAGCGGTACTGAATAATCGTCGACTGGAAGTTCGCGTGCAGACTCAGAAGGCATTTCAAAGAGTACGATACATCGTATATTATCTAAAAATTTGGACATGCTGTGTGCAAGATGAGTGCTGCGTTTCCTCAAACTCGACTAAAATCATCGTAAAGATGCTTCAATTGAGTGTTTAGCGAAGTTTCACAACAAAAAATCAGAATTTTTGCGTCGTTTCATAACCATGGATGAAGCATGGATCCATCATGTCACATCCAAGACAAAAGAACAATCAAAACAGTGGACTCAAATGGAAAAACCGAGNTTCAACGCCAGAACCACAGTGAACAATGACTGCATGAATATTGTAATAGTAGTCTGCTAGATTGAAATGTTCATCTATTTCGAACATTCCAAAGAATTTCTTGCTTCCGTTAGAGGTTGAGTCTTGTTTGAAAATCATTAGTGTTATTAGTAGATTGACTGGTAAATAATTAAAAATGAACTTCTTAAAAATGCTCATCTGACTACAATAATTCTAGAATTTTATCCTGCAAGCGTTTTGATAAATTCGTAAAAACTTCAATGTCAAATGTCAAAAACTTGATATTGTTAAAAAAATGTATTGAATAACAGCAATTTTTTTCATTATTTATTCATTGGAAATTAATCATAAAATGAAACAAAGTAGATAAACATTAATCTCTCAACATTTCTGAGTAATGCCTCTAATCTTCATTATCATCTTCATTGAAATCAGTCAATTCATCTTCCAGCCAATCTTAATATTGGAAATCTAAATCGTCATTGTCATCATCAGCATTATCCTCATTTCCTTCTGCTTCCACTGTAAAAACGAATCAAACAATGATGATTCGAAAAAACTAAAGAGATAAAAGGAATGTGAGAACCGAAAATAAATTACCTGATTGTTCTTCCAGCGACTCACAGACAAAACCCGGTAATTGATCTCCATCGAACCAATGAAAATCAAATGTACCATCTTCTAATGTCCAGCCATTATTTTGGGTTCCAGAATGTTTATTATCTTCATAGTTGCATTATTCCAAAGACTTGCATTATAGTTAGCCCATAGAAACTATAAGGTGATAGGTTGCTAGCATTCAAGTTTTTAAAATTTTTTCGAATAAATTCTCCATTAATGTCAGAAACCATATAATTGTTAATAAACAGTTGAAGTCTGACAGCATCTGCATCAGTTATTCCAGAAACGTTGTTTACATCACAGATGAATGTTTGTATTATGTTGAATAGACGTTCTTCTTCATCTACATCACCAACAAAATCCAAGGAACCAAAACGGTGGAATGCTTGTTGGTATTCTTCATTTTTCTTCAAAACATTAATCGACCCTTGCCTTTTTGAAAAATGCTGGATAAAAATCACATCCTGTGATAGCATGGAATGCTGGTAAACTTAGACACAACGATGTTTCTAATTATTCGCAGATAGCTAGTATTCAAGTCAACATACCTCTGCTTGTTACCAGGGCCGGTCCAAACGTGGGAATGGAGAAGCCATTAACTTTTTTAAAACACTGCAAGTATTTTTATTTTTGTCACACACCTTGTTACTGAAATCACAGCTACACTCAACGAACATAGTAGATCACTGAATACTTTTCTTGTGGGGAGTGTTGCCAGATAAGGAAATTGAAAATGCAGTAGCAGTATTTAAAAATCGCGGATTTTTTGCAAAAAAAAAGCGGAATTTCATATTAAAATATTGGTTCACATTGATTTTACATTCTAACTTCATATGTTAACTGATGTTTTTAATTGTTTATCCATATAGGGCAAGGGAACTTGAAAGGTAAAGAATAAAACAATAATATAATTTCCATTACTTTTATCATAGCAGTCAGGTATTTGTTATACAAACTCAAAAAAAATTAAAATATTTCTATAGAACCAACCAAACTTTCGTTAGTATAGTTACTAATTTTTTGGTTGGACATGGAATATTATAATCACTCCTCCTCCCCACAGAGGCATTAAAATTGAATTTAGGGGATGATTGGCCCCTGGAAAAAAACTCCAGTAATATTCATTACTACACCAAACAGTGCATTACAAAAAGAAAGAATTACTTGAATCTTCTGCTGATCATAAACTTGAATATCGTAACACTGATTTGAATTTCGAAATTTCATACATTTTTCAACCGCTGTAGCTGTAATCGTATTTTATTTTATTTTTTTTTTTTTCAGAGGAATGCACAGCTGACAGATGCAGCCGAGTTCCATGTCAACATGGAGGCAAGTGCCTGACTAGCGATAATTCAGCAGTTTGTCTCTGTCCGTTGGGGTTTTCGGGAGACTTGTGCGAAATCCGTGTTGATTTACAGGTATGTAGTGTCTGTTTTATCCAAATTTTATGGCTGGCACAATGGACGACGCGAAAGTGAGATATCCACATTTTACACAAAGTTCGCACTTAACATTCGGTATTCTTGTACTGCTAAAATTCAGTCTTCTTTCTGTGGAAGCAGTGGCGTACCCAGGAGCGGCTTATTACTTCCTCGAAATGTTATAGGAAATATTGATATTTTCACGCCTATGTGGGTTCTTCAATGATGAATGTTACATTTAATCGAATTCATCATTTCTTCTTAAATGAATTGAAATTTTATGTGAAGAATGTTACGGACCAGATCGCGAGAGTTCAAAAAAAAACAAAATTTAAATTCGAAATTGAGTGGGAACAACAAAAACCATCAGAGAGAGTCAAAACTCAGCTATACTTGTATAAAGTTTCCCATATAGTGGAAGGTGAAAATATCCGAAGAAGGTTGATAAAAACTGATTTTCCTTCACAAAAGTTTTTTTTTCAGCTTTTTGTAGCCTTTTTTTCGAAGATATGTTCTTAATAAGAACAGGATCCTACTACAGAGGAAGAGTGGCACTCAAACCAAATGAATTCAGTGCTAATGTGTCCAATAGTCCATTCAGGCAACTCATTTTCAACATCTTCGAAAGAAAAAAAAAATGCATTTTGTAACCAGCGCATTCGCCATTTTCACTTTATATTCTGGTAAAACGAAAACTGTGTCAAATATTACAGCCAATTGCCTCTTTCCTAATATTTTATTAGAAAATATAACATTCACAATTTGATACTCACTTTGAAAAGAATTCGAGAATGAACTATCATGGGAAAAATCTAAAGTGTTTGATTTGTCAGGAATGTGGCTCAGGAATATAGCTCAATATCACACAACAGATCGAAAACACGTTTTTTAAAAAAATTTCTTGTCCGATCTTCTTTGATAATCAACGGTAAATAGTTGTAAAATCTAATTGATGCGTAATGCGGCTCATGCTCTGTATTTTAATATGTTAAGGAACAATATAATTGGATTTCTATCTGGTGGAATACTCGTGTCTATCTTTCGATTTGTTCTTATGTACAAAAAGTACACAAACATAAATATACAGGGTCCTGCAACAGTGGCGCGGTGTTCCATATCTCTATTTAGGAAATAGATAGGAATCTAAATTCCTAAAATTACCTGTTGCTGGATAAACAAGTTTTGAATTACACCGCAAAATGGGCAAAACAGAAAGTTGCAGTCAGTAACAGTGGGGATATTGTAGATAATATTATGAGGAAGAAAAAGTTTAGGTTGAGAATGAACGAAATCTCGACTTTTAGAAAAAGACGAAAACCAAGACAAGTATATCTCATCCCCATACCACCAATATACAAAGAACTTTGGAATTTTTGTTCAATCGAGTGTTGAATTTCATCTACAAACCATGCTGCAAATCAATGAAAAAACCATGTGCCACAAAAAATTCATGATTCTCATTGATATGGTCACTTCAAATAATTTGGGAAAAGCTGTTAACAAACTTATTGGTCTGTACTTATTCATGACATTTTGTTCACCTTTTTAATAATTACTAGGCAATCATTAAAAATGTGGCATAGAACTGGTAATGAGAACAGGATACACTTTTTTAGAATTTTGATGGAACATTGTGTATACCACTGCTCACTATATTTCATGAACATTACCGATTGCATATTGTACTCACTATTGACATTCATGAATAATGAATAAAAATTACTGCCAGTGAGGAAACTACTTTGTAGCGAAACTCACCTCTGATAAATTTATAAGTATGAAAATTGTTCCACCATCATGCAAAAAAATTGATGTTTTGAAAAAATTATAATTGATTGTGATCCTTTCAAGTTTATAGATATGAGCATGTTTGCACGGCTTCTTGAAGGAATATTCCATACAGTCGATGCTGCAAAAACCAACGTTATTGCTTATGTGAACGACATTTTCGAACCGGTTCAATGACGCTGATCCTTTTGGAAAGAAAAATAGCGTTATAAAATGTGAGTTGTTAAGTCGACACCCACTTAAGGCGATGTAACAATTGAGTGTCATGAAAATTCCCTAGAATGTCTGAAAGAGTTTTTTTAACGAATTATTCAAGAAAGAAACAGGATGCCTGGAATGAAAGGTGATACTTACTGCCTACTTGACTTTCTAGATATATGTAGTTGCACTTGAACGGTGTAAATTCTTTGCAAACGCGGAATGATAAAACTCTGGTTGTTATAGCAACGGATGGTATATGCTCCTGTGAATGTAGTTCTTGCTATTACAGTGTGTAAAAGCAAATTGGAATGAATANTCTTTGCAAACGCGGAATGATAAAACTCTGGTTGTTATAGCAACGGATGGTATATGCTCCTGTGAATGTAGTTCTTGCTATTACAGTGTGTAAAAGCAAATTGGAATGAATAAATGTAAATTATAATTTGACATTTTTCAACGTGAAAATGTTTCCTTTATTTTCAACTCCTTTCGAATGATACGTACAACCCCCAATTCTATGAATGGGAAGTATAGGTTTGTGATATATCATTTGAAAAATCTCTTCATTCTCTATTCAAAAATGTTATCGCTTTCAAGTTTATTGCAACAATTAGGATAAAATGAATTAAAATCATGTGGTCATCAAAATTCGATGAAACTAAAACATAATGCAAAACGTAATGAAATGTAGAATACTAAAAAGAACAATGGATGTTGACGAAGTAGATGTTCGAAATGTTCACCGCGAACGTTTTGGCAATATCCTAATCTCGAATAAAACTGTCTTCTAAAATTATTTAACATATCAGGCGTGACTGACCTAATCGCAAGCGTTATTCGTTTTTTTGAGTCATTCAAATCTGAAGGTTTAGTTTAGTATACATTGCTCTTCACATATCCCCATAAAAAGAAATCTAATGATGAAAGATATAAATTTTCTAAACTTGACAAGACACCATTTTGAAGTAGTGTTAAATAATTATCGCCATTCGAGTTGCCCTCAATGAAAAAGGGACCAATGATATGGTTTCCTACAATCCCATGGTTTCCTAATCCCATTATTTATGCTAACGGAGATTGGGAAAAAAATTGTTAGTTAACAATTGAATAACTTTTTGAAAATGGTGATAAAACTTTTTTTTCTACTGGACTCGATTCATTCAAGTGTTAAGTCAAATTTTCAAAATGACATTTTATGTTAAAAAAAAATCATTTCTTTTGATAAGTTCTCTTTAGCGGAAGCGCGCGCATATCGTAACAGCCGCGCGGAACCCTATTTTCAACGTCAAATTGAAATTATAAATAATGGAGATAGAGTTTCGGCAGTCGGAACTTTTTATCGAAAGTTTACTCTCCTTTAACGAGCTTCTTTCAAAATTGCTCTACGCTGGTTCGAATGGTCTGTGGAATATAATGATTATTCTACAGAAGTGAATATTCCGAATTGACATTCGAAATATTCATATACGGTACGATCTGATGAATGTCTGCCGGAAACATCTACTTTGACTCATATTACGATGTACATTGAATTGAATGTAGGTATATTTGTGCAAGTTAACCTACGCTGAGGATTCTTGAAGATAATTTTCATTCGTCTAGCAGCAGAACATTGGTGAGTGAACACCCACAGACTGATTTCGTCGACGCTTCGCTTGATCGCCCCGAGCGCTTAGCGCACCTAAAATGAAACAGATCGAATATTTTCAAAACATATGTTTTCTGAAAATAAAATGCAAAAACACGTCGACTTGTGATTCAAGGGGAACATCTTTCTATCATAACCTCAACTGTCACACCCCTCCCCCACCCCCCGCTCACTATCACCCAAACAATTTGAATAGGGAAAGTAGTAAGTGTGGTACATCAGTAAAAAGGTAATTTCATAAGGAATTCGGCTATGTTATATTTCACCAGCTAACTTCCGCCCTCTTGCGGGAAGAAACTATTCCGTATTCCAAATTATGATACTTCATTTGCAAGTTAACTTGCAAGTTAAATTTGGTGACAATGCATTAATTAATTTTTCTAAGTGAAAAAATAGTGGACAAGATTTGCAATTATGGTCCGATTTGATTCAAAATTGAAGTGGTGGTTTTCAGAGTCGGAAATAATGAATTATTTGTCAATGCAAATAAACAATATGGTAGCTCCAAGGTAGCGTACAAAATGTGTAATTATGATCTGATCTAATCAAAATTAGTAAGTGAGGATTTTCAAGGCAATATTGTCTCCGAATTTATGTCAAATTAGCTTGCGAATGAAGTTACATAATTCGGAATACGGAACAGTTTCTTTTCCCGCATGAAGGCGCAAAAATGAAAAATTAGGTTGTGAAAATTAACATGGGTGAATTCCTTACTACTTTCCCTATTTAAATTGTTTGGGTGATAGCGACCAAGTAGTGAGGGGAAAGATATGACAGTTGAGGTTATGACGGAAAGATGTCCTCCTTGGATTACAAATCGATGTTTTCGCATTTTCTTCAGAAAACATGTGCTTTGAAGATATGCGATCTGTTTTGTTTTCGGTGCCCCACCCTGTATGAATCCTTCTATTATTGATTTCGTTTCAAATACACTGGAGTATCAACAATTCCATCTATTGAAAAATTTCTCAAGCGAAGAAGTATCTCGTGTACCACAACTCTATCAGAAGTCAAATGAAGTTACAAGATTGTTTTGAGGAGAGATAAATACTTCCAGGCGATTGTTGTGCTTTCGGGCGCCTTGGATGAGGTTTACCAGTTCCTCTCCACTCAGTTGACGATCGTTTTGATTCCGGTGTGGAGTGATGAATCCACGTTTCATCCATTGTCACGTATCGACGTAAAAATTCCGGTTTGTTAAGTTCAAACCTGGTCGAACACTACTCAGAATCGATCAAGACGTTCTTGTTTTTGGTCAACAGTAAGCTCACGTGGAACCCACTTTGAACACAGCTGTCTCATAGTCAAATGCTGAAGCAATATAAAACCACCACGTTGTTTTGATATCCTCACAACGTCAGCTTACTCACGCACTTCTTGTTGTACTGCCTCATTTGGACGTCCACTTCGTTCTTTATCATCGCTGTCTCTGCGACCACGTTTTGAGTCAGCAAACCAACGTTTAATTGTTGTTTCTGATGAAGCGGGGTCCATTGCTTCGCTTTAACGGTATTTTCTCATATCAAGAAGTAGGGTAAAATTAAAACACGAAATTGTTATTTTTGATCCATTGTTTTGAACCTCATGGGTAGAATATCATGAAATTTCAACAGCTTCCTTTTGGAGGTTAGTGCTAACTGAAAAAGCGGTGATGCAATAAAACTAGTATTATCTTTCATACTCAATTGTTTCACTGCTGCTATCATTCGAATATACTTTGTGTATCTCTCAAGAGGTTTCATAGAGAGGTACTCTCTTTTGGGTTCTTGTTCTTCTTCCACTTCTTCATGATGGAATATGATGTTTTACAAAAAGCGCGACACGTGTTTCACTATACAAAAGCTTTCACAAGCGTAAACAAATTTTGTTTTTGTGAAAACATCCATAGTGAAAATCATACAATGAACTGTATTAATGAGTTTCAAAACGTATCAGATATCAAACGTTCGAGCCAAACGCTGGAAAGCCACAGATATTTTTTTTCAGAATTTGCCTTCGAAACACTGGCTACCATTCCGTATTATGGATTTTGCAGATGATCGAAATTGTGATGAATAATCTATTCGTATTATACCTTGTATTATGAATATACAGTGTATTTCTTTAACGTCCCCCATTTTATTTTTTGAACGGCTCAACTCAAAAAACTGAAATTTGGGACAATAATACTGCATAATACATAATACAGAAATACTGCATTTTGAAGTGAAATTGACAGATGAAACTTTCAAGATGGCGACTGGGCGCCATCTGGGAAAAAAATTTAATGGAGAAGGGGGTCTTGTGACACATCATTTTGAAGCTTCTGACGAGTATTTCACAACCCTAGAATATAAATTCAATATCTTCACCTACTACAAAATGACGAAACATTTAATAATTTCCTGAAGACAAATACATTAATATCGATATTTCTAGAAATATTCCTTTTTATCTGCCATATGGCAGATAAACAATCCGATAAGATTTGGAAAGTTATTTTTTGTTTATAAAAACGTCAAAAAATATCAGTACGACAATGGACATCATTGTTCAGTTTGAATTTTCTCATTTGATTTTCGGTTTTACTAGTACGAAGGAACCATGTCAAAAATCTCTGAAATGGTGGTTTTTTCAAACGACAATGTTCACAGACGAAATTGCCGTTATTGGAGTGACACCAACCCTCACGTTTTCCAGGAAACTCATACCCAATATCCAGAAAAAATTAATGTTTGGGCTGGAATATTGGGAAACCATATTGTAGGCCTTCTATTTATTAATCAAAATTTAACAGAGAAACTGTATTTGAATATGTTGGAAACTACTGTTGACCTTCTCGTCACTGAAATCGTCAAAGCGAATCCTAATAAATTCGATATCGATATTATATTCCAACAAGATAGAGCACCACCACATTACTCCAGACATGAAAGAAACTATTTGGATACTAGTTTTCCTCGTTGGTTTGGCCGTCGAGGTCCTACAGAATGGCCATCCCGATCGCCAGATTTGACACCTTTGACTTTTTTATGGGGCAATTTGAAACAAAAGGTGTACGAAACTGAACCTGCTTCAATATTGGATATACGGCAGAGAATAATGAATATTTGTAGAGACATTGCGTTACTGTGTTCGAAAATGTTCGGCGTGAATTCACTAATAGGTTGTTCATATGTCACGAAGTTCGAAGCAACCATTTCGAGCAATCTTCTGAACTGACCTCAAGCTTATTACCTCATATTATGTAGTTAAATGTCAGTGTATTCAGGCAATTATTAAAAGTTCCTCCATTTTGTAGTAGTTGAAGATATTGACATTATATTCTGGGGTTGTGAAGAATTTGTCTGGAGCTTTAAAATAGGTCATCCGTCCATTTCGGAAGAACAGCAAGTGCAAATAATAGATGAGATGGTAATAAATCTTATTCCGTCGCGAATGTTTGTGAGGTGTCTTCTTCTTTTGTGTGGAGACTTTTGAAGAGGAATAGGTATCATCCATACAAAATTGAAATTGTACACCAATTAATTGAAGATGACCCTGATCGAAGAACAGTATTCTGCGAAATCATGATGGAAACCATTGCAAGGCATCCTACCCATCTTCACAATACTTGTTTTACTGTCGAATGTAATTTTTTTCAAACGACAATGTTCACAGACGAAATTGCCGTTATTGGAGTGACACCAACCCTCACGTTTTCCGGGAAATGCATACCCAATATCCAGAAAAAATTAACGTTTTGGCAGGAATATTGGGAAACCATATTGTAGGACTTCTATTTATTAATCAAAATTCAACAGAGAAATTGTATTTGAATATGCTGGAAACTACTGTTGACCTTCTCGTCACTGAAATCGTCAAAGCGAATCCTAATAAATTCGATATCGATATTGTTTTCCAACAAGATGGAGCACCACCACATTACTATTTGGATACTACTTTTCCTCGTTGGTTTGGCCGTCGAGGTCCTATAGAATGATCAGCCCGATCGCCAGATTTGACACCTTTGACTTTTATTATGGGGCTATTTGAAGCGAAAGGTAATGAGCATCTTTTTAACTCATCTCAAGCTTATTACCTCATATCATGTAGTTGAATGAATGAAATGAATGAAAGTTCCGCCATTTTGTAGTAGTTGAAAATATTGACATTATATTCTGGAGTTGTGAAAAATTTGTCAGGAGCTTTAAAATATGTGTCACAAGACCCCCCTCTCTTTTCAATTTTTTTTCCCAGATGACGCCATCTTGAAAGTTTCATTTGTCAGTTCCACTTCAAAATGAAGTATTCATGCATTAATTTCATTATCTCAAATATCAATTTTTTGAGTTAACTCGTTCAAAAAAATAAAAGGGGAGAACATTAAAGAAATACACTGTATGAATGGAACGAAATATTCATTACACAGTTCAGCAGAAAAACTCATTCTGAACCATTTAAATTTTTGAAATAATCCTTCCAAAAGGGAATCGCTATTGGAAATATGGAAAGAAGAACTTTAACCTTTCCTGAAGCACAAATTACCAGCGAGATATTTTAACGTGGAACACAAACTTTCAGGTGCCTTCTTTCAATGGATCCAGCCACCTCCGCTATCGCGGCTTGGCAGAGAGTGCCCTGACTTGGCTAGACTTCGACATTACTTTCAAACCGACAGCTCCTGATGGCCTCATGATTTACAACGGGCATCGCATGGACGGCACCGGCGACTTTATGGGCCTCTACTTGAACGACGGCTTCGCAGAGTTCATCTACGATTTAGGAACCGGATCGGTCACGGCCAAGAGTCAGTATCGCTTGGCTCTGGGAGAGTGGCATCAGGTAAGTTGGTGGGAAGTGTTTTATAGTGCCCCAATGGTTTCTTTCCCTGAATATCAGAGAGTTATCAAGGTCATTTCATTAATTTTTTGAATTTACAACTGTAAACTCACCTTTTCATGTCCCAAATACACTGTAATTTATTTACCTTTACTTTACTTCANATTTCTTTCAGCAATAACTTGACAACGCCGCAAAATTTTCAAAAAAAGAAAATACTTTCTCATGTTAAACATTTTGTTCAGTTTAACGGTGAAAAAATTTACAGGGGGGTCTATTGAAAAAAAATTATGGTTTGTATTGCCCTGCTTCAAAGGAACACACTGTATATTTCAAAATATTTTTGAAATAAGCAACAAAGTAAGCCATATAACTTTTATCTGAAAAATGTTTTAATACTCCTCATTATAGGCGAGATACTGTACTGCCTCACACTAATGGACCCTCCTGTATATTAATTTACTTTAGACTATGCCACTTTCGATGAAATCCTGACTGTAACATTGTACTACTTTCATGTATTGCGTTTCAGATGATCCTCATTTTGTGGTGATTGCAAACTGCAGATTGAAGTAATTTTCCATCTTTCCCTTCCGAATTCCAGTCCAACTGAGAACCTTTAGAAGTATCGCTGAATCTCCCCCATCAATTACATTACATTCCATTAACTGATCTCAACTCCTTATCTCTAGGTGAGGATCTCCCGCACCGGCAGATTAGCCATCCTATCCGTGGACGGTCAACTCCCGGTGGAGGTTCTGTCCCCCGGGGCCTTCACTCAATTATCTCTACCTCAAAATCTATATCTGGGAGGCGTCCCCAACTTCGGAGTCGTCTCCCCGAAACTGAAAGTGAGGACCGCATTCGTGGGCTGCATCCAGAAGGTCGGTATAAACGGGCGGCCGCTGTCGATCCTCGCCGAGGCACTAGGTGGCGCTAACGTCGACAACTGCCCGCATCCTTGCGTGGCGCGTCCCTGCGGGGAGGACGGGGAGTGCTTGCCGGAGATGGATTACTTCACTTGCAGGTGAGAATTAATTTTTAATCAGTTCGTAGGCCTTTTGAAATTAGCCAGTTGGGGATGTGTTTTGCGTCTGGATCAATTCCACGATTGGGGTCGTTTTTGCAGTATCAGAAGGTTAGGATATTTTCTGAAAAAAACAATTTTGGCTTTTTAAAAACAGAGGAAACATTTATGCTGTGAAATATTTTTTCGAATGCCTGCGTATTGAAATAAATAGTGCACAGATAGATCTTTTATTTACTGAAAACATTTTTTTAAACAAAACACAAGCACTACAGAAAAATCCTTGAGGCGCTCTCAGAGCGGGGCCTAGCCGAAAGAAGCGATTCACATTGGATTTGAAAAACTTTCTCAGGAAGTTTATTCCACATAAACGCAGTTCCCCAGATGAAAGAATTCTTAAACAGTGAAGTTCGAAGTGTACTGAGTTGAACCTCAAAACGATGAGCAGCTACAGTCCATCGCGTATTTCTGATATGTACCGCTCTTGGTGGAATCAAATGTGCCAAGTTACTTGAACACTTCCCGTGAAAGTATCTTTAGAAGAGATACAAATCTTCAACCTTTCTTCGATGTTCCAGATTTCAAAAACAGATTTTTAAAACAGATCAAGGTTGTACGTGATGTTCGCGTCCCCAATCAGGTGGATGGCTCTATTCTGGATGGAATCCATCAACTTCAGGGTATGTTTGGGGAAAGAGCTCCATACATGAGCACAATACTACAAAGAAAGTCTGATCTGAGCTTTATAAAGCATCAAAAGTTGCTGAGATGTGTATATAGATATAAAGATTTAGACACATTTGAGCATTCGGAGGAGTTGTCCCTCTGTAATACTGAATATATCCAGTTCACAGTTCCTTGCCATTTTGTTAACTGTTTCGAGACATTGTTGAAGAGGAGAAAAATTGTTTGAGATACGAAATAGATTGTCTCTTCTTTTCAGTCCTACGTCAGGTACGATAATATCAATAGCATAGACAATTTCAGGTATTTTCAGTTTTATAAAAATGTTAAAAACAAAAGTCACTTCCGAGGACTCACGGCGCGGCGGTCTTTCAATGGTTGCATGTTAAATTCTTGTAATTGGCTAGAATACGATATAAATGAAGGCCAAACATTGTATTTTCTGAAGAAGAGTGTTGTCAATAAAATCGTTTTTGGACTTTTTCTATATTTTCAGAATAAAAAAAGGTCTTTGGATTCCAAATGACACAACCATAATCCAGCTTAGAACGAACAATGGGGTTGAAGAGTAACAAACAAGTATCGTGATTGAATTCGCGGCTAGATCTTAAGACAAAGCTCATTTTTCTATAACATTCAGATACTAAGTATTCAATGTGCCGAGAGAAACTGAACACACCAGTAAAAATGATCCCGAGATCTTTCATCTCACTGATTCTCTATAAATTGGTATGATTAATGAAATAACTTGCATTTAGATAGGTCAGATACTGAAAAGTAAGTAGATAGATTATTGAGATCATCTTGAAGCATATCAGAATCTTTTTCGCTTTCGATTCCTCTAAACAGCTTCAATTTATCGGTATATAAGAGAAATGGAGAATGCCCGATATACCAAGAAATGTCATTAACAAATAACACGAAAAGGAGAGGTCCCAAAATCGAGCCCTGCGGAACTCCCGAAGTGGCGGTGAATTTGAAGGAAAATACGTTGTTGAACTGTACGAACTGTTTTCTATTGGATAGATAGCAGTGAAAGATATTAAGTGTGTTGTTTGTGAAACCGAATGCTTTTAATTTCAGGATCAAAACCTCGTGGTTAACTCTGACGAATACCTTGGCCAAGTCAGTGTATATAACGTCTATTTGATATCCATTTTTTATTCCATCCATAACAAAGTTAAAATGCGCATAAATTGGTAATGGTAGATTTATTACGAATAAAGCCATGCTGTTGGTTGATTATTACTGGGTCCACGTGATTGTATACTCGATTATATATTACCCGTTCGAATATCTTCGAAAAAGCAGGTAAGACTGTTATGGGTATGTAGTTTCTTACATTGCTCTTATTGCCTCTTTGCCATAAACATATGGAGATAACTCTAACAATTTTGAGAAAGCTTGGAAAACGATTTTCTTTTAGAGAAAGATTGAATATTAATGTGAGTGGTTGCTTTAACAAGTCACAGTAAGCCTTGAAAAAGTAGGCTGGAATGCTATCGATTCCAATGGCTGCTTTGGGTTTCAGTGTCTCAATAGCATTTCAAACCTCTTGTTCTTTGATATCACCAATTTCAATTAGGTCCATTTTAACCCCCAACAAACTTATCGAAGCAGAAAGCGGAATTGAATCAACAGTCATAAATAGAAAGCTCATTTATTCATGATGAACAAAAATTTTTGAATTACTAGAAATTAATTTTTTTCTCAAAAATATAGCTGATCGCTGTTTGCGGGTTTTCACGCACTAATCTCAAAAATGCTTCAATCGATATGAATGCGGTTTTAACTAGTATGTTGTAGTGAACTTCACTTGATGATGAGTGAATTGATGAAAAAAAATCATGTCATTCGAAAAAAAAAATTAAAATTGAAAATCAAGGATTCAAACAAAACTATTTTTGAGTTTCAATCGGTTCGAGAGGATAGCATTTTCGGAAAATTGTCTCTGGAGTGAATCTTCACATAGAAAAATATTGAGATGTTACAAAAAATAGCACATCTCAAAATAAAACACAGTTTTTGTTAACAAGAACATCAAATTGTACAGTTTGTTCTTCAACCATTTTTTATGGAATTGAATCAGATATGTAGGATAGAGATAATAACTTTTCTAAAGAAATGAACTCTACACGTTCATGCCAGTCTCGAATATACCTACACAGTAGGTTGAATGGACTGACGCCTATCATAAAACAACTACTCCCCTGGCTAATACCACGAAGGCCGTTGGATTATATCCGACAGGCGTCAGTGCAGGAATCTTCACACAAAAAATTTCCTGCATATGCAATTTGCAATACAACTGAAAGAGTCGACTTTCAATTTTGGAACGGGCACACTTGCAGACCGGTTTTGGGCTCATTAGCCACTCATCAGTGGAAGATAGTAACCATCATCGACCTAAAGTCAATGATATTCAGAGTATTTCATTCCTTTTCCTAAGTTAGAGCAAAACAACAAAATGTCACTCCATCATCTATAGTGGACGAGGTACTAACCAACTTCATAATCGTAATTTGCCCGATTCCTCTGAATAAGAAAGGAAAACTTTCTTATCAGTCAGTGAGCTATGCTTGAAGACTGACAGTAAACAAATCTAAAGAAATGATAGGCGTCAGTCCATTCAACCTACTGTGTAGGTATATTCGAGACTGTCTTGAACGTTTGAATTTCATTTCTTCATTGGATGTATAACGAAAATAAGAGTAATGACGAAATAAGGAAGATGTAGTTTTTCAGCATAAATTGCCATATAATTATGAAATGAATATAACTTTCGCTCCTTCACCGCATTCTCACAAAAATTGGAAAAGATTGATAATGGTTTTTCCGAAAATTATAATATTACTCAATCACATATTGTAAAAATAAATATATATGTTGGAATGCAACACTTTTACTTCGATAGTAAACTCTTATCAGCTTTCCCAACTTTCTCATTTGACTGGATTGTGACACGTCTCTTGATTTGAAACTGAAAAAAGTCAATAGCCCTTTCAGAGAGTATGAAGGGCTACCACTTCACTTTTTTGCCCAAATATTTGCTTGATATCTGTACAGCTCAGTTGCTCTAATTCTTCATTGCAGGGAAGAAAGTCAACATCAAAAGGGGATGTTTGAAGCTAACTTGCTTACAGCAACAACATGTTTGACGGTTGGCCAGATTTATCACTGCATTTACGTTTCCAGTTAATAACATATGTTGTCTGGAATCCCAAATTCAATTTTGTCTCATGAGAAGGATATTTCAGAGCAGAACTTTTCAGATACAATGCGCAAATTTGTCTATTTGTCAAGTATTCCACTTTACATATTTATACAGTGTGTAAATGCCAAATGGAATAAATTCATCATTTCGGTTACTGTATATATTTGAAAAAACCCCGACACACGTCAAATGTAAATTATAATTTGACATTTTTCAACGTAAAAATGCCACCACTACCTCCAATCCCCTTCTAATGACAGGTACAACCTCCAAATTTTTTAATGGGAAGTATAGGTTTGTGACATATCGTTTGAAAGGTCTCTTCATTTTCTATTCAAAAATGTTATCGCTTCAAAGTTTGTTGCAACAATTAATATAAGATAAATTAAAATCATGTGGTTACCGAAATTCGAAAAAATACACTCAAAACTAAAATGTAATGCAAAACGTAATGAAATGTTATATATGAAAAAGAACTATGGACGTTAACGAAGTAGATGTTCACCGCGGACGTCATGGCAACATCCTAATCTTCTTCTAGTCTTCTAACATTATTTAACAAATCAGGCGTGATCGACCTAATCGCAAGCGTTTTTCGTTCTTTTGAGTCATTTAAATTTGAAGATTCAGTTTTGTACATATGGCTCTTTACATATCCCCATGAAAAGAAATCTAATGATGAAAGATCAGATGATCGCGCTGGTTATTCAATCGATCCTCGCCTCCCTATCCACAGATCGGGGAAAGTTGTATTGAGGTATTGCCGGATATTAACTTGGTGATATGGTGATGCTCCATCCTGCTGAAACCATATCGTATTCACTGGAACTTGGAGGTTTTCTGGGTCAGAATATAAATTTGCTAAACTTGGAATAGAAAACTTCACGTCTACTAATTGGATGATATTGTCATACAACATGTCCATCATTTGCTCAAAAAAATAATTTTTCCTACCAAAATCGTCTTTCATGAGCTCCTGAGTAGGTAGCATTTTTTAGGAATGCATTTTATTTTCTTTTAATATGTTAACTATCGATGTATGGCTAACATTGAATGTAGCGTATGACTGTCTACCCGATGTATGTGGGTTTTTCTGCAACTC